TAAAAAAAAAAAAAGAAAAAAGAAAAAGGCGACGAAGAAGAGCAGACTAAAAGAAGCAGCTTTGACAGTCTCACAGAGTCAGGCTACTGCCAGGAGCCGCTAATTTTACGTGACTTACTCTGCGGTGCACCGACGTGCACTGTCGACGAACCCGCATATCCAGGATACTCACCCAAAAGTGCCGGCGGAGGTTGCTACCCCGGACTTCGCGATAATGCTGCAGGAGCAGCGTTAAATGCCCGATCTACTTTGACCTCAACGAGACAGTGGCTGATACTCTACAGTCGTTGGCTGGCTTCAGATATTGGCTTCCCTTCGACGAGAGCTATGAGTCCATGTCCTTTCTCTACTAAGAGCTGCCTCTACAGCTTCCACTAGCAGGTCTACAGCATAGCTGCCAGAGTACTGTGTACGCAGAATACGACCTTCGCAATGGCTGCGGACAAAGATGCCCTCGCTACGGACGCTATGAGTAAAGCTATCAACAGTACCGAGACGTGGCACGCCTTTCTACCTTCAGAGCCTCGAGACATCCTTCTATTACCGTTTCGCGTTGTCTATCATGCGGAGGTGTTTATAATTACATTACCGCGTCAACTTATCCGCTTTGTTGGCCTGGATGTTGCATTTTCCTCGGCCCTAGACGGCTTCGCTCGGGTTTTTGGTATCGGAGGCGGAGATGTGGCCGGTGATGATGCTGCGGCTGCGGCAGCCGTTATTGCTGCTATGACTGGTACCAGTGCGAACGGAGCACTCTCAGGCGATGCTGCAGCAGGCTCTGCTGCTTCGACGGAGGCCGCCTCCGGGTTCAGCATGGGAGGCTTCATACCTTCGCTGAAGAAATTTGGAGGATTCTTCAACTACATGACTACAAGGTGGTCCCTGGCATGTTTTGTAGTGGTATGTAGGTTCAATTTGTGGCTTAACCCGCTAATTATTGCCTGGTCATTCCCTAGAGTTGACCTTCATTTGATCTTCCCTTGCTGATTGGTATTGGACAGGCATTGATTCTGAACCGCGTCACGGTTTATGCTTCTCCTCGTCGCCAAGTGACTTTAAAGTGGCATACAACCCTTATTCTCCGTATTATCCCAATCGTCCTGTTTGCTACACAGATTCTAAAGCTCCTCCGCGCCATTCGCTGCCAGACTTCCCCACAATACTCTATATTCCGGTATGACCAACCAGGGAAACAATCAAGGCTAGACTATGCTGGTGAAGGAGGATTTTTATATCACCTAAGTTCGTCTTTATTGCAATGGGAGGCGGAGCAGTCATCATGCAGCGCAACTTTTACGTCCCCAGGACCTGGTGTCACGTATGGCTCATTTTCTCTCCTGTGGCCGGCATTTCTCCGACTGTGTTTTGGCCATTTCATTGATACATTATCTGCCGCACTTCAAGGGAAACCTCTTGCTACGGAGGGCGGTATGTCCATATTTGAACTTTCCCTTGCATTTGCAGAGGCGGAGATCCAAATTGTTCGATCAGTTGGATTAGAATTCCTCGGAATCACCAAATCTACAGCCAGCGTGTCAGTCGAGGGTGCCGCCACTGGGGATGGAGCATCGACCGTTCCATTATTCTCAAAAGAACGTGTCCTAGAACGACTTAACGTCACTCCCGAACTGCTAGTTATTGCGCTGCTAGCATGCTGCAATAGTCTAGCGACGAACCTTTTAGACGTCTTTGGAAAACAGAGCCAGTATCGGCTCATCAACACCACTGTATGGGGACTATCATTCATGGGATTCATGGTCTGGAGTTTCCTCAGATCATATCTAGACGGCAATCACGCTGGCCTATTGAATTTTCCCACAGTCTGTATCGTGGGATTTGTTCCTCATCTTCTCATGTTACTAGGCATATTGACGTGCCTAGCAATATACACTATTGCCCTTCTTTTGACAGCGTACTCTCTTCCATCCAACCTTCCGCGTCCCAACTCATTTCGTGAGCGCCTTGCTATTGCCCATGGTAACATGCAAAGTTCCACCCAGATCCAGAATACCCGGTTCCAGATGCATGATGATTTCTATGCCACTCTTGTTAGGGTAGGGTATGCCGCCTTATCCGCTGCTAGTGACGCGGTTTTTCTAAACGAAGGGAAGAGTGTAAAAGTACGCAAAATGACATGGTTGGAAGAGGATAGGCTTGCAGAGTTTACATCTCGAAGGGATCAAAGCAGCCAGGAATGCCTTCCGCGGGGCGATGACGTCCAACTTGATGAGAACTTTGACTTCGCTATTCCTAATCACCCAAGACAATGGGAAAGTGGGTATGGCAAAGAGAAAAAGCTTGAAAGGACGCAATCCAGCTCTCAGGCAATGAAGAAACAATCTGGATTGGGGAATGTAGGAGCATTTCGGGGGCCAACTAGGTGTTATCATGGCTTTGCATTTTTCAAAGCAATTTTCTATATGCTGGCAGGATGGTGGGCGTTTGGGCTGGTAAGACTATTGGACCACTTTAAGCTACCACTAAAACCACAATGGCTGGTGCATCTTGCGGGCGTTCGACAACAGTCTAGCAGTACAAATGAAGTGGCAATCCGCCCACCGCTAGATTTCTGGATTTTGACGGATGAAGGCGTCCTGGAGCTGCCGGAAACAGACGACTTCGACGTGGAAAAGGAAATGAGAAAAAGGGAGATGATGGTTAGCGAGTCATGGGGCGAATCGCAGGAGGAGCATCTCGACAACAAACTTTACAACTGGTGGAAGGTTGGTGGCTCCTGGGGAAATCAAGATATGACGGAGGATTATTCTCCCCCGCCCCAGGACTGGGATACAACAAGTGTAGCATCTACATCAACAGCTGAAGAAACCGAATGGGAGTCCTGCGACTCTGATGGCCGACGGACGCCAACCCCCAGCAACCCCTTCCCGGGTTTATCGAGAGTGCCAGAGGAGAGGATTGACATGACATCCTTAGCGCGCCTGCTTGACCCCAAGGATATGGAGACCAGAGATGAGGCCCGCATATTATCTGCGCACATCCTAGCTTCAAGCGAAGGCAAGATAATGACACGGCGCCGTTTCCGACAACAGTTGGATGTAGAGCGCGCGAGAATCCTGACTTCATCGAATGCATGTTGGCCAGCAGAGAGCCGGCGGTCAAGCCGTCCTACGATGGAAGAGGAATTGGAAATCTTGGAGAACCTGATTCTTGAACGAAGGCAAGGCACTAGCCAAAATAATATTCCCCCTCTCACGTCAGAAAACTCGCAGACTTGGGCTACCGGCGCCTCGGGCCTCGGGCCAGATGGACCGCAATGTGTCATATGTCAGGCCTCCCCAAGAGCTATCATAACATGGCCATGTCGCTGTCTTTGCATATGCGAAGATTGCAGGATAAGTCTTGCCATGAATAATTTCAGCAGCTGTGTGACATGCCGTCAAGAAGTCACTGGTTTTGTCCGTCTATGGGTTCCGTAGGCTAGCCGTGTCCATTTTTATATACACAGGAGCTTACCTACTGCGCCCCATAATAGTATGTTACCAAATGGTTACAACATGTCTATCTCTCTGATATGATAGCTTTCTCATAAACAGAAGTATTGACACCTTTTCAGTGACAACTTCTAGTTGAATGATATCATTAAAGACACGTCTAGACCTACTACGCATTGGCTGACCTCGCATGATTTACCCTGAATAGTAATAACAGCCTGTTATTTGGTCAAAAGATAAAAGCTGCACCAATGAACAATATGGATACCCATTGTAATCGACACCTAATCAACTGCTCTCCACATATCGTGGTCTCCGGCTCGTAATAGCTGGTCGAATCTACAATTTGGTCAAATGGGGCAGACACGCGGAGGCCCGCCCGTTCGTGGTATATGAGCATTTAGTTTTGTTAGCTAACAAAAATGATCCTACTAGCTAACTAACTGAAGGTTCTATTTACTACTGATTAGCATCTCTGGTTTCCCTAAGCTTTGTTTGCAATTAAACAATATATGTAATATATTCAATTATTATCTATCCAGTCTGTAGCGTTACTGGTTGTGGCTGAGATAGGGTAATAAGGGGTACACATTAGCTATATAGAGGGCTACCAAACAACAAAGGCCAGGCCAAAATATGTTGCAATGTCAAGTGTATCATGAGAATGAAATCACTATAGTATATCATGAGTAAATGAGGCATCCGCCGACCGGCCTATCTTCATACCAGCTCCGAGCCCGTGGGAGCTATGACTGCCACCAGTTACTTGGTTCACTTGATCACCTAACACCGAGCGATATTGGGGGCTGCGAAATGTGCCTCTAGGTGCTCGCTGATCCTGAGGTGAGCGATTATTAACTTGGGTTTGGGGTGGTAGCTTTGTACGATGTCGAGGTGTAGGAAGAGTGTTTTTTACTAGGTTTGGAGTAAGATGGGGCTCAAAGGAAAAGTCCGAACCAACGACACTTACCAACTCGGGATACTGGTATCACAGAGGGAGGAGGCATCATGGTTCCATCACGATGGTTAAAGGCCCCTTTATGTTGCCGCGGAACTCTAGAGTCATGATCATTGCTTGCCCTGTTATACTGATTGATATCACTCATGCGAGAGATGGTGAGGCTGGTAGTAGGCCGTTGTGGATCTAGACTAGCGTGCTGGGTATTATCGACTGCTCCATATGAATTGAGTGTCTGAGCAACGGTATCGGAAACGGCAGTTTGGATTTGAGACCGAATGGCACGATTCTTCAGTAAGTTATAGAGATTCGTCATCTGTGCGTGTTTCTTGCATTTATCCCTGTACACGTTAACAAGTTCCTGGTTTTTCTTTTGGAGCTGTTCCTGGCCATGTTCAAGTTCTAAAAAGATACTATAGTTAGATTGATAGTCATAACATCCAAGGTGGCATACACATATGGTCGTACCTGATATCCGATGCTGGAGGGTCTCTATAGCAGAATTTGCGTCGTGCGCCATTTGATCCATCTGCTTGCCCATTACACTGCATTTCTCTCTTAATGTCTTGCTCAAATGGTCCTGGTAGAATCTGGACAGAATTAGTCAACTGTTTAATAGCTTTTTCAGAGTTTTTGAGACACCAAGACGGAAAGTGGGAGCCGTACATTTCCTGCGTTGCCTGGTAGGTCCAGAATGACAAAGCTCTCCCAGCGCATTCTATTATGGTAGTTGGGTCGAGTCCGCTCAAAACACTGGTTTTGTAATCTTCTGTTGGGGTGAGGATAGTAGAAACCACGTCGTCCGGGTTTGGGAGGCTTGATTGGCAGGCTGGACATTGTCTACCCGTAGTTTGTGATTGGGATAGCCCCCCTTGGCTCGCGCAGCGGAGACAGAATATGTGGCTATAGAGAATGTCAGAGAGTCCCGGAAAGCATGAAAAGGCTCTCAAAACTCACGAGCAAGTGGTAACTACGGCCTTTTCTGTCAAAGCTGTGCGGCAACTTAGGTTGTTACAACGCAAACTGAAATCCAAAACTTGAGCCATCACAGATAGAAAGCACTCTGAAGCATAGAGTGTACAACAGGAATCCTTCACTAGTAATGGGGCAGAGCGAAGATCTGAAGATGCAAAAGTTGAAGCAAAACTTGAGATGTAAACAAATGCAAAACACAAAAGTCACAGTTTCCTTATTAGGAAGTACCAACTTGTATGATCACGTGTTTTTTTTTTTTTCGTCCATCCAATACTTCCAGGTAACTTATTGACAGAACATTTTTATCCGTTTCTTTCTTCTGCGGGCTTTCGAAGCGTTTGAATACTCTGCTTGGGTATATAGAGATGGCAAGAATTACACGCTAAGTTTCTTCGTTAAGCAGAAACATGTGAGGGGTATAATAAGTAGTTGGGAAGAAAAGCCGATAACCAAACCAAAGATGATGCACCCGCTTTCCCCCCTCTCTCAACTCCGTGCAGAAAGCAGAATGAGCAGCCATACAAACGAACGCCGGAATTCTACTAGAAAAAGAATGCATTCCCTTGGTTGTCCCGTCGGACTCCACGCATCTTCTCTTCGAATTCGGGTCCGGGTTCGTATTCACGCCAGAGACTTGCTGGAAAAATATGTTTGTTACGTTCGAACCACCGTCTATCTACAACCTTCGTAAGGGTTGGATCTGCGTCCTTCCCTTCGAGCACAGGCGTTGCGTTGCTGTTATTATCGGAGGAAGTTGGCGGCGCAGCATCTGAGTAGTCAAACAGTAATCCGCCATTGCCGGAGAAATTGGATATTCTATTGGCAATGAAATAGTAAAACTCATAGTGCTAGAACGGTATTAGCATCAGTTGACCAAAAAAAAGAAACCAGGCCAGCAAAGGAAGCTTACGTGTGGGATAATGACTCCGCCTCTAACCAACATTAGATCGTCGACTCCTACTCTAGCCCATTCTCTGCGGTGGTCCTTTCGTCCCCTTGCCGCACCTCCAGCGCCCGCAAGCCCTAGCTTTGCACCGACTTTTCGGCACCGATCAAGAAACAACCATACAGGGTCTCCTTTCTTCACAGTAACCTGACCAGCCGGTATATTTGTTCCGTCATAAAAGATAAACGGTATCACTATCTCAGTCGCCTTGACTACTTCTTGGAGGGCTAGAAACTCTCGCCAGAGAGCATCCCTCGCCTTTGACTCTGCTTCAAGAGCAGATTTTGTTACCAGTTTCGGTCGAGGAAGTGTCAAATGTGGGTTTGGAGCTAATCGCCGAGATGGTTTTGGGCTCGACTCGCGCGGCGTGCCTGACCGAGACCTTCTTTCACTTGGATCGCGAGATATATTGGGTGTATCCTCAGTCTCTCCTTCATCTTCATCATTGCCAAACGAAAGCTTACTCTTTGCGAGGGCTCGAACTTTCTTCTTCTTCTTCTTCAGCGGCTCATCACTCTGCTCACTGCACTTTGACAATTAGCAAGCATATCCTGCGATATAAAAAGTAAGTAGGATGTGACTGTATCTCACTTACCCGTCTGCCTTGTCTCCTGCGGATGGTGTGCCGCTCCTGGACGTCCCGGGGGTAAACCTGCCTAAGGACTTATCGTGTGCTTCTCGTTCTTTTTGTTCAAGAACTTCTGCTCGTCTCTTTCGATAATCTGATAGTTTCACCAAGCCAACTGTTTGCGACTTAAAGAGGTCTTCTGCGGTGGTCGACTGGTTCGTAAAAGACCGAGGCGTTGAGGTCCTACTAGGCGGTTCGGAGGGTGCAGACATCACGCTGGTGCGAAACAAAAACCGACAAAACGAGCCTCTATTCTCCCCGCTAGTATCCAAGTCGCTTGGCAGTCAAGTTATGTTATCTTGGTTGAAGAATCTTTTAACAGAGGTATCTCAAGAACCATCTCGGCTTTTCTGGTAGGACACCGAGCGTGAGGTCCAGGTAGCCAGCTCTCGGCCTTACGTAATCGTCATCTTGTCCGTGTTAGTGAGAGCCAAGCAAGATAAAATACCTAGTCGGGCCCACTTGGCTGTCACGTGAATCAACTATCTACTTAATAAGTAACACGGAAGTTTGACTTCATCAAGCACGTGACCTTGACAAGCTCCCTCGAGCTCAAAGGCATCAAACCTTCAATGGCTGCAAGATTTACAGGATATGCCCATTTCTCTCGTTACCGAAGCGCATACGAGTCGTCCTTAAGTTCCAGCGTGGCAGTGCGTAAAACGAGATAGTGTTGCCTCGGAGCTCGGTATTTCGACTTGGATCAAGGCGTATTTCTATTTACGCGATACCACCACCAAAGCGTACGGTTTATCCTGTTGGCGCAGGATATACCTTATCATATTGAAAGAGAACATTCAAGAAAACATTGACTTTGCCGTGGTGACTATTCGGTCGAACGCCAGCCATGGAGGAAGATGATGATGATCTCTACGATCCGACAGATGTAGCGCCTTCTGGTTCCTCTGCAGCTCAGAACACAGAGCACCAAAGCGGAGACATAGGCATGACAGAAGGACAAGGCCACGAAGAGGAGGAGGCAGAAGAAGAAGAAGAAGAAGAAGAAGAAGAAGAAGAAGAAGACGATGAAGTATGCGCCAATAGACTGTTCTGCCGCTGATGCTCGTTCAATTGACTAACCGCAAGCTATGTGTAGGACGATTTCAAAATCATCACTGAAGCTCCCCCAGAGGTAGTTGCAGAGCTTACTACGTAAGATTTTACCCAAGCGAAAAACGCATCTTGGTGAGACCCAAGCGGTTACTAAAATCATAACAGACAAACTTCTCGCCATCCCGCGCATCGAAACGAACCCCAAAAATCTGCAACTGATCCTGCCAGTGCAGCCTCCAAAGGTGCAACACTGCACCCCACTCCAAAGCCCGGGACGCCGTCCGTAACTCCTGCTGCCACCACGAAATCTGCAGCTCCTCAAAAGCCAGGGTCCTCATATCCGGCTCACCATACGTCGACGATCGATGTATCGGCTAACCCTGTCCACCCTTCAACCAACAAACCGATTCTTTCTACGGATTTAGATTCAGATTTTCCTACGGAAGACGATAAGCCTTGGAGAAGACCCGGCTCAGATATCAATGATTATTTCAATTATGGGTTTGACGAGTTCACATGGGCAAGCTACTGCCTCAAGCAGCAAAGCCTGAGAAAAGACATTAACGACCAAAAGTCGCAGATGGAGGATATGCAGGCATTCCTCAGTCTTCCTGGAGGCCTGCCGGGAATGCCGGTACCAGGCGACCCAGCACCGCCTCTTCCTGGACTAATACCTGGAGCGGTGGCTGGCGGGGGAGGGAGCGGAGGGAGCGGAGGAACGGGTGGTAGAGGTACTCCCGGCCCTCCTCAAGGAGCAGCTGGGCCAGGATCACAGAATGCCATGCCGGGGATGCCTTCTGGGATGCCAGATCTCTCCCCGGACATGATGCAGGCAGTGTTTGCCGGCATGATGGCCCAAGGCATGGACCCTTCATCAATGGACCCAATGACTTTCATGCAACATGCACAGGCTATGATGGGAGGTGGCCAGCCTGGCGCTGGTAACCCTCAGGTGCCTCAAACCGGGTATGGAGGCCAGGCTGGTGGACAAGCCTTTTCTGGACAAGCTACCGGGCAGGAACAGATGGGATACGGGAGTTATGACCAGCATGGAGCGTACAGCAATCCTGGTGCAAGGGGGAAGGGCATGCGAAGATGGTAGATCGAGATAAAAATAGATAGCCCATCAAATTTGCAGAAATTATCCAGCCCTGCACACCACCAGCTATGAGATAATGGGATAATGCTAGGTGTATTCCTCCGTGGTTGTCTCCCCCATCTCTGATATAAACATGTTGCCTTTCTCGGCCTGGAGAGCGCTAAACCGTTTTCGATAACAAGCTATGGTTGTCTTGGCATATTTTCTGGAAATTTCTTGGGGGTTTTTTTTTCCCTTAATCGCGAAGGTGAAAACAAAAACTTCTTCCTTCTTCTTCTCTTCTCCAGTTTCAACTTTGATGCAATTACAAGTTATAGGTATTCAATCCGTTCAATTCGCTACCTATCTTTTCTTTTAATCGTTGCTTTATAATATTCTCTGCCTCTGCATCCCCTATAGACGTCAACAATGGTGAGTCCGCTGTTCCGTCTCCGCATTTTTGGAGTACCTTTCTAATCAAGCTTCAATTCGGCGTATATCCAGGCCTTTCGCAGCGTAAAGAACCTCGCTCCTCTCCTCGACCGTGTCTTGGTCCAGCGTATCAAATCTGAAGCGAAGACTGCCTCTGGAATCTTCCTTCCGGAGAGCTCTGTCAAGGAGCTCAACGAGGCCAAGGTCCTTGCCGTTGGACCTGGAGCTCTGGACAAGGACGGCAAGCGAATTGCCATGAACGTTGCTCCAGGTGACCGGGTTTTGGTTCCCCAGGTGCGTCAATACTGTGTTAATTGGTCTCAATGAAGTTGAGCCTTCTTTTCTGGAAGCCTGTGTGACAAGTGCTGACAAGCATTGCTATTGATTAGTTTGGAGGAAGCCCCGTAAAGCTTGGAGAAGAAGAATACTCCTTGTTCCGAGACCATGAGTATGTTGATATAATTCTTCCGCCGTAAACCTCTCGTGGTGAAACTAACTTATCTTTCCATAGGCTGTTGGCCAAGTTCAGAGAGTGAATATACATGGTCCACGGGACTTTGAACCAAATCGACACGCGAAATCGGCTACACATAGTTACCCACTGATTGCTTGTTCAGACCGATTCTGTACAATAATATGTAATATAACGAATGCAACATCCATCGGACTTACGGAGTCGGTCATCCTGGCCAACTGAAGATAGCAAAAGAGAGCCAGCGAAAGGAGTTTCTTTCCATTTTCTGTTCCTTGGTGTTTGCTACTTTTTTTTTTTTTTTGCCCACTTCATTTTTTTCATCCACATGAAGAGATCTGAAACTGGAGTAAATGTACTTGAAGAATGAAGTTAGGATATAAAGGCCTGACGCTATCTACTTTATATACAAGCAGATGACTCATTTTTGGATCCCGATGTGGCATTCTGCTACATATCGCCTGCGGGTACAAGAACCGGAAGAGAATGTGTGCATGCTAGGATATCTCCCCTCAACATTGATTCGGGTTATCGTCTTTGTTCCATCTCCATATTTGTGTCTGATTAAATAACTTTTATCTGTAAAATTTCCCAACAGCATAAGGGAGTATGGATATAGATAACTGCTTTCTAGTCTCTATTGACGTTGAGTAATCAAGCAGACTGATCCAAACCTGGATGTGTTATACTGGATCGTTATTCTCTAACTAGCATTGGTACAAATGGGCTGAGAAGCATACGGCGTCTGCGATCCCTTACTCGCGAGAAAGCTCGTTCTCCAAGCAAGTATACAGCATAAGCCTTTTCTTCTGGCTTACCATCAATAAGACGACCTAGGCCGATGGTGAGCCGTTTGCTCACCGGAAATGTAGTGGACTCCTCGTCAGGACAGCTAGCCGTAAGCAACAACCCCTGGTCTATTTCTTGGGTTTGCTCCAGTGAAGGAAGCAGGATATGAACAACTAATGCAGCAGCAAAATGGTTCAATGCTAAGCATTGTGTAAGAAATTGTTCGTCTAAGGTGCTGGATATAGGTTCAAGATCAGAGGCACCAGAGTGACGCTGTGGAGGCAAGCCGTTGAGTCCGCTAATGATGCGTTCAATATCACTTTGTAATACCAAGTTCTGATGACGTTTCCCGAGATTGATAACCCAGTGAGCGAGATTTGTGACGTCCGAAGTGACATTGAGCACCCTTACTTTTGAATATATATTCATTGAGTTGCAGAAGGCGCCAATTGTGGCCATTGCGTTGAACGTATTTTGCTTTACTGAGACTAGGGGAGTTGATGGATCCGCATGGTGGAGAGTAAAGATATAAAGTTCGTCATACTTCTTGCAAGTTCGATATATTTTCTCCTGGAAAGGTGAGTTTAATTTTATATCGGATTCAAGTTGAATAGAGTGTCCTGGCAGATGTAGCTGCATGAAATCTATGGTAGTTGCCAAAAGCATCCCTACCGTGGGGGAAAGTGTTATATCTGCATCTCGCAAACATAATCCTTCGCCCATATTATATGAATGGGGTGTAGAGTGGTCTTGAAAAATCAGGGTAGGCGGATTTGAGAGGGTTTCCAGTTTGTGGACGAGCGGCCCGTGAGTTCTTAGGAGGTCTGTAGACAGAAAGAGTACCATGGGTTTTTGGGAGCTGATAGTAGTGGGCAGTTCGTCAAGGGGAATGGTATATAAACCTGCCTCGGGTGAAGTTTTTCGCGGAATCAGAAACTCAGCTGTTTGCAACTGTTGGTCAGGTACCTTGGTATTGTGGAAATTGGCAAAGCTATGGAGTTTTGAATTGGACATGTTATTGTTATTCCAGGGCGGTCTTTTCCCATGAGCTTCAATGAAGCTGGAAACGCTGTCGGAGGCTGAGAATAGACCCGGCAGGAGAGGACCTCGCGGTACAGCTGGCAAAAGTTGCCGACCGGTATTTGTAGCATTTTTAACAACGCTGCTATGGTTGGTTTCTTTACTCTTCTCTATGCGTGGACACAGCTCGAAATTTTCTAGTTTCTATTCAGCCCGCGTCACGTCAGTTAAAAAAAAAGTCTGGCACATGGTCTGGTAACGAATGGATGGGAACAAACATCATTCGGCTGGTGATGGTAGGTTGGTTTCTGATATTCCAACTTGCGCACTTTTTCATGGCTCAGAGTTTCCAGTATGAGTGAAGCTGTTGTGGGACGACACACGAGCTTTTCACCTGCAACTTCCGCTAGAATCTTGTCCTTCAGGTCCGTATACAGAGTTGGAAATTCCAGTCCTTCATCAGGTTCAACATTGAGCTTCTCTAACGTTGTTTGCAGGTTCGACGGATCACGCATTAAGAACGTTAACGCTGATATGGTACCCCGTGATGCGCCTTGTTCAGGGATAGATGAAGATATCTTCAGCTGTTCAACTTTGTACCAGTCTGGTAAAAGGGTATGCGAAAGAGTCCTAGGATTAGTGTTCATATATTCCTTATGTAGCCTGAGGACATAGGATAGCAATTCACTGCTAGCTCTAGTAAGGGGAATTTTCGCAGAATCAATACCCTGTATAGACTCCAGGGCCCCCTTTTGGTCGTCTTCCACGAAGCAATGCAGTTCACTATGGTTCATTGTCCGGGAATTGGGTGGATTAAGTCCATCAAGGGCCATGTTGTGACTAAATATCTCTTGCTCCAACGCGATTCCGTGATAACGGGCATATTCGAGCAACGACGGTTCCTTCGAGCCTGGCGCCATAAGGTTGAGAACGCCGATAAATACTTGGTATTGGTTCCTCTGTTGGATTCTTCGGTGGTGTTTTGCTGATGAAAGTTGTTGTTGTCATAAGAGAGCATGGAAGTTGCAGATGATGTTGCTTAATAGTCAGTCGGTGGACGACGTAAGTCAAATTGGGACGATAAGCAACACAAAAGGCGGCACTCAACCTGGCCACTAACGCGCTGACCACAATGCTCGGAAATATGAAGAGGACAGAGATGGGTAGTATAGCTGAAGATTCTGCACACACAGTATTAGACGTGCATCTTTTCTATGGAATTTTAGGTCGGGTACCCTGGAGAAAAGGCGGAGAGTAAAATACAGACTGATATACGTAAGATAAAGTACGGTGAACGGGCTGGACGGCGTTGAGCATTCCAAAGCTGCAGGTTAGAACTGAATGGTCCTGGTCTACCTGTGAAGCGGATTTGCGTTGGCAGAAGAGGGCAAGTTAAGGAGGTGGCGAATGCTAACACGATGTAAGGGAGAAACGGGAAAGGGAGAAAGACAAGATCAAAAAGAGAACAACATAGCATTGAGACATAGCAAGTCGTTAGTACGCTCTGGGTTGCCATCCATTCCCTATCCCAGTACCATTAACTCCCATTGGACCCAAAACTAATTCCTGGACCTCCTCTTTAGCAGTGCCAACTCTGCTAGCGACACCTAGGATAGCAGTCTCAACATCTCCCAGCGTTGCAGCAAGTTCCCGCACACGGGAGGATTGTGTATTCGCGATGCTTCCGCTATCTCTGCCCCGCGAGGAAACCAGGGCGTGGATCTTCCGCTGAAGGGAATCTTCAACATTGTATAGGTGGTCTTCTATTTCTTTTAGGTTCTTCCGATATTCCTCGAGTACAGAGCCCATGTCGTCTGTCCGCTGAGAGAAATAATCAACGAGGCTTCCGGGTTCATTTTGCGAAGAATTAGTAGAATCCGCCTCGATCCCCTCTGGGAGTGCAAGGGTCCCGCCGTGACGAAGCCCAATGGTGGGCCGTAGTGGATGTTTGGACATTGCTTGACCTTGTTGGCCAGCTGGCCACCATCGCTCACCGGGGCTGGGTTGGTATTGCAGGGGTAAAAGTAGCGTATCTAGAGTGCGGAAGGCCAGTCTCGCTTCCGTTGCATCTTGCTTTGCAAGGTTACGGGCATGTTCGATGCCGTTAGCATCATTTTCGAGGGCCTCCTGAAGTGTGTCTAGTTTCCCTTGTACAAATTCAACGTCGTTGGGTATCATCGCCCCCTGGGCAGATATAGTAGGCAGCAGGTCTGATACCTCGTTACACATCCGTATCTGATTAAGAATGAAGGTATCTATGGCTTCGATTTCTTTTTTTAGTTCGTCACTGCAGTTTTCGAATTTGGTCGTAGGTACGAGGTTGGACACGTCAATTTTAACGCCCGATACAACATTTGTTCCAGTTGGTTGGTCCTGTTTCAATGGCCCAGTTGTGTTTCGGAATAGAGATAAGGTAGGGCCCTGCTGCTGCTGCTGTTGAGGCGGTTGCTGGACGGTGTTCCCACTGAATATGTAAGAAATACGTTAACCTGGGGCACACGAATTGGGTAGCGTGTAAAAAAGAAAGAAAGAAAAGAAAGAAAAGAAAAAGAAACGGGAGAATTCAATGACACTTACAATATTCCCCCTGTATTTGCTGATGTTCCCGTAGTCTGTGTAGCTCCTCCAAACAAAGATGGCTTTGCCTGTGCTTGGTTAGCGTTTGAAGTACCCAAGGAAAACAACGATGGCGCGCTGGTTGTTGCAGTGGTTTGCTGTGTCTGGGCGCCTGACGTTGTCGTCCTGCCGAATAGTGAGCCGCTGCCGAGCGTGTTCTGCTGCTGGGGCTGTGATGTTCCCAAGGCTCCAAACAAGCCTCCGGACGCTGGTTGGGATGTTGCCGGTGTTGAAGCTGTGGTAGCCGCACTGCTCCCAACGGCACCAAACAGGCTCTTCTGTGGCGTCTGGCTTCCGGTGGCCCCTAGCCCTGAGAACAAGTTTCCTGACTGCGGTTGCGATGTCGCTGCGGCTCCTAGGGTGCCTCCGAAGAGCCCGCCGGCCGATGTTGACGTCGTTGCCGTCTGGGGTGTTCCGCCACTATAGGCAAGCCAAATATGATAAGTATCTTTTCTTCGCCTCTTCTAGACTCTATGAACAGATCTAGTCCTATTCTTTGTGTAGGTGCTTCGCCGTTGGTATGATGCGGATGGGCAGTCAGAGTAAACAACGACTCTCCGAGTAGTCCTTCATCAAAGA